AAGATCTGACAGTCATTTTGTGACACCCCATAAAGGCATTGCAATGTAGACAGAGTACCTTATAAGTTATATTTAGTTGGTATTCATCATAGTCATCATCTCAACTATTATCTGTTCACTGCTGAACATAGGCATCCCCCATAGACTACCATAAGGAATGGTCTGATTCCCTGCAATGCATTTGAGATTGTCACTCCATCTAGTGGGCCGTACTACTCAAGAATCTTTCTTTACCATCGGTTGTTGATTTTTCAAGCTATGTGATCAGCCCATTGCCACTACAGCTTGCTTATCTTAAAGCATACATATAGTTATGTGGAAGTATTACAGTTAAAAAAATCAAATATTGATATAGTAATAATCTATACTTATAATAAATCTGTAGAGAGGTCAATTCTGTACATGAAATATATTTCCAAAATAACTATCAGGGGGTGATTAGTGATCAAAACTGATACCAAAAATGCAATCAGTAAAATTTTTTGTCTGTCTGTATGTTCGTTATAGAAACAAAAACTACTTGACGAATTTTAACGAAACTTGATACAATTATTCTTCATACTTCTTGGCAGGTTATAGTATACTTTTCATCACGCTACGATCAATAGGAGCAGAGCAGTGAAGGAAAATGTTGGGAAAACGGGAGAAGTTGCTCAATTTTTAAGCTTCTGTCGCGTGTGCAGCCTTAATGGCCACTTTTTAAAATGTAAAAATGTTCACCCGTGAGATACCGGGACGGGCTGCTAGTATTAAATAAATCAATAAAATAAATAATACTATATATGTATATAATAAATATATAATAATATATTAAATTTCACTCTTAATTAATATCTCTTTAAATTCCATTACTGGCAAGTTTCTAAAAGTCAGGCAACAAATTGTACAATATATAATTTTGTCTTTAGTTAAAAATCCAGGCTTTTGTTCCCTCGGTTATATGAAAAGCCATTGGTTCTGAAAGGAAAGCAATCTATAAACTATATAACAAGCGCATTGTCCACGATCGCTTTCTACTGACGTAAAATTTATAGCCCTGAAGACGATAAGATGTCAGCCGCTTGCGATGGTTTACACGTCGGCGACTGAAAGTTGCTCAACTATGAATCCGATCAGTTAGTAATCTTATGATTACTTTTATTAGGAGAAATAGTATTTTTAATAATGAGGTTCTTGGATCTTTCACTGGACATCATCATGGTTAATTCTTGTGGAATTCATCACGACCTGCTCTCATCCTCATCTGTCATCTCTTATTGCTACCTTGACAGCAAATACCAATAGCGCAGGCGGTGTTACCATTCCATTTTCATCCAATAATATAATCTGCTAATATTTTTTCGAATAAGTATTACTTTTTTTTAGATTAGCCCTTAATTTCGTCTACCAATTTGAATACGTATGTGAGTAACAGGTACATTTGTTATGTATTGTAGCATTTTTCTCATTCAGTAATTAATGGATAAGTGTGACAAGGATATTAACCTACTATTATAATATTGACCAAGCGGCTTGGTATACCATTCATTTCGAGTTTTTCTATTCTTGCCTATGTGTACTGTGTTCTTTCTCCCAGTTACCACTCTCGACATACTGTTCATGTCTATCATCATGGGTCATCAGCTTGTCCCATAGAAATTTTTAGATCAAAATAACGGGTTTTGTCACAATTGCATTCTTGTTTTTTTTTTTTTTTGTGTGAGACAATCTTTAATTATTACGTTATTTCACCATCATATTTACATTAATAATTTGCTAACTAATAATTGTAACTACACTTAAAAACAAGTAAAAACTACATACTAGTACTAACAAAATACTTCCAAAGCTCGACTGAGCAGAGCAACGAAAAATCGCCAACGATCGAAAGAATGTAAACGCAATTTTTAAAATATATCTTCCCTTCGAAGCTTGATCGCTTGGGTTGAAGACTGTAAACGTTAATATTGGAACTAGTTTAAAGTTTTAACGTCACATATAACTTTAGTACTGGATAGAAAATATTGAAGGAGATTCATTGCTACAGTTGATTCACGAGGGTTATTAGAAAATTTTATCATATGTATTATCATAGTGGTTCGTCATCGACTGGGAATTTACTCTTATACTTTATATCGGTATTTCCCAACGTGAGGCCCACGCCCAACAGGGGGGCAATTTGATAGTTAAGGGGGGGGGGCAGTTAAAAAATGAACTCGAAGTGAAGCCATTTAAATGCAATGCTACGAGTAGATATCAGTGCCAAATTTAACAAAAAAAAGTAAATAAAAAAAAATACTGTAAACATTTATTAGGTATAATTTCGTTTGACATTACCAAAATATCAACTAGGAGATTAGAGTCGTCAAGTAAACTTTGTCGGGGAAAATTATGTATGGGGGCATAAAAATTTTGGAAATGTTTAAGTGAGCTTTTGAGTTTTTTCCAAGAAACTCTGTACCCTGTAAATTCACGCCATATCCCACCATTCAGACTGAAACACAGCCATGCAAACACAACTGCTTCACGGTAGAAACACGAATTGGACAGAGGTACCCAAGCAATTGTACAACAAAAGTCGACCTCTGGTGAGAAGAACGTCTTCATTAGTAGTACTTATTTGTGTAAATCGCGTAATTTTCAATAAGTAACCAGTATTTTCTATATAAATGTTAATCCGGCCCGTTTGTTCGAGGTAAGTGGTGCTTATGATCTAAAATGAGTTTCAATCTAGCCGCCTATTGTTCGGTTTAAAGACGTCGTAAAGCCGGGCTCACGGCGTGCGATCCGGTGGGAGGACCATAACTCCGTGATGCAATTGCATTTCGAGAATGTTTATCGAGACTTGTGCTAGTAGTCAAAATGTAAATAGTAGTTTTTTTTTATTTAATATTATAACATTTTTTTTCTTTCATTCCTGTGGGTACAAGTAACACCCGTTCACAAGTATGCCAGATGGCAGCCATCATTACGCTATACCATATTTTAGGGAATTCAACGACCTGGCCCATTACGTCGCCGCCATTCAAGACCTTAGTGAGCATGACTAGATTTTTTTTTTAATAGGTGTAAATGGTATGGTAACCCCATCTGCGCTAACGGGATACGCTGGCGGAGCACCAGTGAAGGGTGATAGATGAAAATGAAAACAGGCCAGTTAGCCCATTATGATGAATGCATCAGGAATTAATCATGATAGTTTCCAAGGAGAACCGCGAAGAGGTCGACTTGGTTGAGTATATTGCTAGCAATAGGATTCTCAGTCTCCATTACTAACAATCCCTTTCCCCACACACGTAATATATAGGAACGTAGAAGGATATAAGCCACCTTTTATCTCGGTTCATGTCGAGTAAACATGTTCGCCGTATATGCCCCGACATAATATGGGCCCCCTTTCCTTTCCCGTGGGTGTCGTAAAAAGCGACTAAGGGAGGGCGAGAGATGGGCAGGAGCATCCCTCTTAAAACATCTCTAAAAGCCTCACTACGGTTGCCAAATCGATAGCAATAGGATTCTAAGTCTCCATTACCAACAATCCCTTTCCCCCAGTATATAAATATTGTAACTAAAATATATAGATATAGCAATATATTACACAATCCTACTTAAATAAAACAATAAACAACAATAATATACTATATTTGTACATAGTGGACATAAGCCTGCTATTAGCACCTTACACAGATATTAATAATTATATCAATAATTACTAGTACCGCATTCGAGTATTCTGACACTTCCCTACGGTTGACTGGGAGAGAATGCTTGTAGCATTAAGTCCGCCATCTACACATATATGTACTAATGAATAAATAAATATTATTAAAAGGTCATTAAAATGTTGTTACACGAGTACGTAAATTTCTTTGTTTATATAACTTCAAATTATAGACATTCGCTCACCGAATTACTAGATAATAACAGTCTTATTATTTTAAATACAAATAATAACTTGGTTAATATTTAACAACGAGCTGTCGGCTAAGTTAGCAACTGTAATTATTAAGATACTGCTTACAACACTGAAACAACAATCAAATAAAATTTAAATCGAAAAACTTTGCTTTTATCTAAGAAACACTAAATAGCCAGACTGAATATACGAATTATTCGTATATTAGTAGACTGAATATGTTTATTTTTAAAACTTGTGTTCATTTTTATCTCATGTCTTGTACATGTCTACTTCCCGTGTAGTCCCGGCATAGAATAGAACACCTTTACCGTGGGTGTCGTAAGAGGCCACTAAGGACGGGCAAGGGATGGGCAGCGGCGCCCTTTTAAAACATCTTTAAGTCCTAACTTTGGTCGCCAACCCAAACACTGCCAAGTGTAGCAACTACTGGCAAAACCCCCTCTAGGGGGAGGCCTATGTTTAGCAATGGACAGTTAAAGGCTGATATGATTCTTGACGTAAAACGCCGAACACCCCCTGAAGAAGGCTTCCGGATGAAGTCGAACCAATTGTCGGAAACGACAAAAACACAATGAGTTCAATGATTTCCCGTTCCACGTGTCATCATATCAGTTTCTACTTGTCCACTGCTGAATTCAAGCCTCCTTACTTACTAGTGAGCTATATGACTACTTACTTACTTGTTACAAATTTATATATATATTCTTTGTTGCACTTGTAAATTACATTGTTAATGCATTTATAAATATTGTGATCAAGAGTTGACTTATCTCTGGCAGAGATCTCTTCCAGTCAACCCAATACAGTTAGAAAACATGTCGTCAGCGGGCAGCTGAAGTGATACAACTATTAATATTTAGAATACATAAACAAATATACAGTTAAATAAAATATTACATAAATACATATACTATAAATAAACTACCTACTTATACAACAGATGTTAAAATAAATGAATATACTACCCACAATAGAATTTTAGTTGAATGATTTTAAGGTTTGACAGTTCAATTAGAAAAATGAAAAATTAAGATTATGACTCAAAAGGGAAAGAAAATGGAAATTCAACCTTATTAGTAAGATCAATTTATTTTGTCAACAGGCGAAGTGGAGCGGCTGCTACGCGAATACCGACAGAATCAAGAGCTGGTGCGTAACATCGGGGCGCATTACTACCAGATCATATACCCCGTGCAGCTGCGCCACCACGAGAAGATGGGCATCTCGACGCGCGAGGTGAACACGCCGAAGGTAAGACTTTTTACAACAAGCAAGTACAAGTTGGCGTCCAAAAATTTGGGGTGCCCAATAGAGCGAAATAGAGCAAACCCCGAGACAAACACTATTGTTGTACAAGTCGTAAGTCTGGCCCCTCATGGAATACTGCTGTCATCTGTGGGCTGGAACACCTGTATACCAGTTTGGTCCTCTTGATTTGCTTCAAAGATGGCTTATGAGAATTATTGATGATCCCAAGCTCACAGGCGGTATCGAGTACTTAAGTTTATTAAATTTTTATTTTATTTATTTCGAATTAGGCATACCAACAGTATACATATTATACATAGATTGAATAACATTTTTTTGCGTAGCATTCTGATATGCATACATAGAGCAGGCGGTCACAACATTGACTACAGAGGGCCTACCATGAAATGTTTTTGAAATTTCGGGTCCGAACGAAACAAAAATTTGATGCTAAAATTACATGATACGTACCGTTTAAAAAAAATTAAAAATGCTAAAATATCGTTCCTTTGAATTTTTATGGTAGGATTTATGACAAACGAATTATTAAGCTCCATTTACAGGGTTGATTTCGGTACGAACAAAAACACGAAATTGAGCCCCAAAATTCGGAATTTCATATGTTATATAATGTATCATGTCATAGTTATATAACAATAATATAATAAATTAAATTTATAATTAAATATTTTGTTATAAAACTCAAATACAAATATAAAGCAAAACTAGGCAATACAATCAAATCTACAGGGTCTTCTGTACCTTACCGCGAAACACTGCCAACGAGTCATGGCTTACGTCTATATCCGGATCTAAACCGCATATACTCCTATGATTATAGTTACTGCATATTCTTGCAAGCGGAGCACTCAATCCTAAATTAGTTTTGCACAGTGGCACATAAAATATCTTATTGATGGGATACCTAGGGATACTGTGAGGAACTACATATTTAAATTCACACAACAGCTCAGGACAGTCCACATCATGACGCGTAATCTTATGAAGGAATGCCACAGACGACAACGATCAGACAGGGTCTGCATAGTGAAGAAGTTAAAACGCTGGTTGTACTGGCATCTGAGCGATATATTCTGTGCAAACCAAGCCAGGTGCCTAGTAATAGCACGCTGTACACTTTCTATTCGCTGTAAATGACATGATTAGAACGGACTCCAAACCTTGTTGCTGTACTCTAGCCGACTTCGGAGTGTAAGCAAATTTTAGTTTTTGCTTGAAATCCCCTGGAAGTGCATTTTATGAAGTCTAACATTTGAGTCGATTCCGTACAGCAGAGTCAATATGAGATGCGAACGTTCATTTAGTGTCCATTAATATAACCAAATCTCTAACCCGCTAAGTAATTTGAAGCTACCAATCCCTCGACCATTAGATTTTCTTAGGCACTGCTTACTGCACCCACGGGAAAGAAAAGAATAGTCCATTCTATGCCGGGACCACACGCTAACCAACCTATGCAGGATCTAAATTCTAATTTCTTTTATAAAAGGGTCAGCGTTGTAATTTTGAGAACGCATAAAGTGGATTATTCAAAATCGAATCTATTTTTTAAACTTGTACTATAAAAACTCAGATGAGGCGTACACGGAGAGATGGCATTCTAATATTAATGATTAATGTCCCGCGCCGTGGGACACCTTTCCCCGTAATGGACGGGCGTTTTATTTTTTATTCTGTTTATCATCTAGCTTGTATATATTATTTTTTATACATCTCGGAATGGCAAAGTTGACGGTCCATCTAATGGAAAGTGGTATTTATCTATAGACGTAGGTACTACAGACATCACAGTATATGCCATGATACACATGGTACCCGTAATGCGTCGCCGTGCTTTATGTCTATGGTCTATGGTATTATTTTTCCGTATCCCGTAACCTCGCTAACATATCCTGTCCTTAAGACATGGCAAAAATGCAAGTACATTATATCTACTCAGAGGCAAAAACAAAAGTGGGATAATAGAATCCATGCTGACAACTTTTATACAAAGTAAACCTTCAATATATTTATTTTTATTTTTTATATTTTATTGTACACATTAGTTATAAAAATATGACAAAGATAAACAAAAGTACAAAGGCGAGCTTAAGGCTGATAGAGTTTTCTACCAGCAAACCCAAAGTGGAAAGGAGCATCAATGTCAGCGGGTACAGCAGTGTACAATTTTTAAACAGCATTAATTAATTACATTATATTTTAACGTACAAATACACATATACATATATATGTATATATATTACAATGACGTGTGGTCCTAACATAGTATGGACCACCTCTTCCTTTCTCGTGGATGTCGTAAGAGGCGACTGATGGAACATAATGGCAGAGAGATGAGCAGCAGCGTTCCCCTTTAAACATCACCAAAAACTGCGGTTGCCAACTCGCCTGCCAAGCGTGTAAACTACTGGCTCAGCCCTCCTATTGGGAGAAGCCTATGTTCAGCAATACACAGCTTATAACAGACTTGATGATGAATTATTATAGGTATTAAACTTAAATTTTTAATTACTATATTTTATTACTTAATAAAATATATTAATAAATATAAATAGATGATTGTTCAAATATTCCCTCTGTGACAGTGCATGTAGTGTTTTACACCAGATTTCGCTGTAAAATAGCGTTGAATTTTTAAAAAGTACTTGGGTCGGGTTGGGTAATATTTTATTTTATTTACGAACAGAAAGTAGCCGTTTGATTAAATAGAATTAAATATTTATGTGAATATTTTATTCGAAATCTTATAGTGAATTTCATAAATTTATGTTTCATTCTTTTTAATTTATAACTAACAAAATAGGTCTTATGTTGTCTGATTAAATAAATATTATTATTATTATTATTATTATATATATATTTATAAAAATATTATTGTTACATATTTATAAATAAATAAATAAATAATGTATTTATTATAATGGTGTCCCATGTCAGGTTTCCCAGATACAAGGCTCGACCTACATATATGGGGACATAACATTTTTTGAAAAAATATGAATAAAGTTGAATGTTCTTTGGACATGAAAATATTTATAAAAAATCTTTTGTAGCGACTTCAATAAAATGTTCTCGAATCTCAATATCTTTGTTAATCGCATATCGACTTTTGAACTACTTCAAAAAAGGTAAAGATTATCAATTCCGTGGTGTTTTTATTTTATATTTGTTACCTCATTACTCCGTCAGTTAGAAATATTTATTTCGATTTAGAAAATTCTTATTTTATCTCAAAGGATATATTTTTATATTAGTCACATAGAATTACTATTAAAATCGATTCTGTAGTTTAGTTCATAAATCAAAATAACTAGATTTTTTATAACAAATTTTACAAATACAAATACAAGTACAAAGACTTTATTGTGGAACTACTATTTTGTATGGTTTGTATGTGGAAAGACTATTTTGTATGGTTTATTATAACTGATGGTATTGTATGGTGTCAAAAATAAAAAATTATAACTGAATTGAAAATCTTCTTCTTTTTAAAGTCGGTTGAAGAATAAGTGAAAACTTAACAAGCACGGATTTTCTAAAATATCAATGAAATAAAAAAAATAAGGGAGCAGAGTACAAAGTCGCTCGTGAAAATGAGCAATGCAAAACTCAATACAAAATGAGTAACTCAATAAGCCAGTATCGAATGTACTAGAATCATAATGTGTCGAGATGGTTCTCGACACATTATTTTTACCAATACCAATTTAAGCTATGTTTAATAGGGTTCCGTACTATAAAATTAATAATAATACATGGTCATATCAATTGTTAACTGATCACTCTTGACCATAAGCCTGTCCCTTTAAGAAGAAGAAACAAACCTTTCGGAGTTTGACAGCCCCATTGCTAGCAATGTGCCCTATTAGGTCGACCTCCACGTGGTTCCCCCTGGAAACCATTGTGAACAATTCTTGTTGAATTCGTCACGATGGGCTAACTGACCTGCTTCATCCTCACCTATCATCCCTCACTGGTGCCCCGTCAGCGTATCCCGATAGCGCAGGCGGGGTTACTATTCCATTATCATCCATTAAAAAAAAAAACCTGAGTTAATGAAATATGAACATAACACAACACATATATAATACAACTAGAAGTTTAAAATTTACTTTAGTTCAATATATACCTACACACAAGCACTTCTAAGGTGTGTTTTCGCTAACATATAGTAGAATCCCGTGGGACTATTCCATGTGAAATAGCAAGTGCAATTATAAAATTGGTCAAGTGCGAGTTGGACTCACATACATTAGGGTTCATCTTCAAATAGACGACTAATAAAATTTTTGTGGGGAAACCAGTTAATGAGATTAGCACAGGTCCGTTACAAGTTGCCAACGCAGTTGGGGCTCGGTGGATTTCGAAAGGGAACCCGGGTCCCCAACATTTTGGCGCGGCGAGGGATGCCGTGGTGGTTTAATTTTTGAACCAAAATAACTGTTTTTGGGCTGAATAGATAGGTAGATAGTAAATTTATAAATATTGTGTTTAACATTTTCTTTGTTTTAGAATTTTTTAACCGACTACAAAAAAAGAGGTTCTCGATTCGGTTGTATTTTTTTTATCATCAATTGGAACATAATTTACGATTAAACAATGTTAGTTAAAAATTTTGCAATTTTATATATATATATATACCTTTGTTACAGTAGCAAATTAACAATACTCGTAATCAACAAGCAATGAATAGATTGATAAATGTGGAAGAGAAAGAGTTCTGTTTGAATCGAAACGTTTGTCGTTCCATTGTTTCTAGCTACCTCAATAGGAAACGAGCGTGAAGGATATGTATTTACAGCATATACAGCATTAGTAGTTACAGAAATGTAACACCGCGATGAACGGATGGACAAAAAAAATCATAAGGGTCCCTATTTACCATTTGCTACGGAACCCTAAAAATAATATTCTCACCTGTACCGTGAGTTTATTAAATATCCAATTCTAGAAAATTCCATTAAAGTAATGAACACGGCCAG